TGGAGACAAACTTGATGCTAGAGCCGCTGCCCCCTAGGCCCCGGCTGCTGCTGGCACTAAAGCCAGAGCCCCCCAGGCTGTGCCCACCGCTAGTGGTGAGGGAGTAGCCACTGCCCCCACCCAGACCCAGGCTTCCACCTCCAATGCCGCTGCCACCACCGTAGCCGTTGGACACAGTGTTGGTGACCACAGCTGCAGAAGAGAGGGGGTGGGATCAGAATCCAGGGTGAGAGAGAAGGCAGCTGGGGTCATGGGCCTGTCCCTTGAGCCCAGCGTGGGATGGTGTGGTCTTGCCAGGCAGTTGTTTTCCTCTTTCCAATCCCCCCTGCTTAGCGCAACCCCTGTCGGACACCTCAGTCTCTCTTCCCTTAGCTGAGTGCTGGGCGCACTCCCATGCTTGACTAGCCTCCTGCCTCCCCTTCACCACTGGGACTGATCTTTCCCTTCCAGGAACCACTGGAGACCTCTCCTCTGGGAAGCTCTTCCAGTCCACCTGTCTTCCCTTTCCCTTTGACATCCCCTTCCCTGCTGCTCTGTCTGGCCCTGACTCCCTCTCTGGGCCTGGCTCTGGCGTCTACCTTCCTTGTGGAAGCTCATGGGAGACACACACACTCTTCCCTTGGTACCTCCTAGCCTCGACACTAGAATCCCAGAGGGAGGACTGGGATATTCTTGATGGACCGAGTGACAGATGAGCCCATTGGCCAGTCAACTCTGCTCCTTTCTCCTCCCAACCTGTTCTTTTCCTAACTTATAACCACTCACCCCTAAACACTCTAGAACCCCACTGAAATAAAAGATAGACCCTCTTATGAGATGGATTGTATCCTCCCAAATCCTATGGTGAAGTCCTGACCCCCAGTACCTGAGGATGCAACCTTATTTGGAAATAGGATCTTTGCAGGTATAACCATGTTAAGATAAATTTTGGGGGGTGGGTCCTGATCCAATATAGCTGGTGTCCTTGTACAAATAGGGAAGACATTCATCTGAAGATGCAGACACACAAGGACACAGTCATATGATCACAGAGCAGATGGGAGTGATGGAGCTGCAAGCCAAGGCACCCCAAGGCTTGATGGCTGCCAGCAGACATGGAAAGACTCCAGGGAGGATTGTCCCCTCCAAGTTTCAGAGGGAGCCTGGCCCTGCTGACACCCTGGTTTTAGACTTCTGACCTCTGGAACTGTGTCAGCACGTCTCTGTTGTTTTAAGCCAGTCAATTGGTGGCACTTTGTTGCAGCAGTCCTAGCAAGCTAGTATAGACTTTAGGTGTTTTCAAGAGAAAGGAACTTCAAGGTTATGCCGTCTGTTCCCAAAATGAGATTTGAGGGTCTCTGGTACCACTAGACAAGAACGTTGGGGAAGGAGGACATGTGAGTGGCTCAGTGATCCTTCTAAGATCACTGGCTAATATAATCAATTGCTCTTATGAATGCCCCATCAAGGAAACCAAGCTCACTGTTGAGTGTGAGCTGTAGGAGGCATTTCTCTTGGCCTCAGGATGCCAGCACTGCACTCTGTGGAGGACAACTTCTGCCTCTACGTGCACAGAGCCACGCCAGCCAATGCCCTCTCCTGATTTGGCAGCCGCACCCAATGGCCATGTTTTAAGCTACTCTTGTTTCCTTGAGAACCCTGGGCAACGTTCTGCAGTTGTGCTCTGCAGAGGTGAGCCAGCCAGTGGAGCTCCTTCCCAAATTGTTCTGGGGAAAGCAGCCTACCTGGCAATGCCCTTGTGCCCAGCACGAATGTTCCCGCCAAAGACCCAAGACAGACCGAGAATTGTCATAAATCCTGTCTACATCCAATGCTCACTTCTGAGCTAGACTTGCAGCCCCAGCTAGAGGGGAACGGAGTCCTGGGAGGTGGTGGTGGGGCTGGGTCTTCTAAACACACATGGAACAATGACAGCAAACCTCCCATCACTCCTTCTGTGACGTCCTCACTCTCAAAGGGGACAGAATTGTGACATTAAAGACTCTCTCCTAACATGGCTTTCTCAAACCTTCCTCAAATGAACCCTGCTTATCCTCACCCTCCTGCAAGCACACCACCTCCCATTTCCCCACCCACACACATTCCACACGACACACGAGACTGTCATACTCACAGATGTTGACAGGGGAAACTCCCTCTCCGCTCAGCCTGATGGGGGGAGGGGAGGAAGAAGTTACTATTATGTCCAGAAATTAGCGGGCATTTGCAATGACGTTTTTGTAATGCCTTTAAAAATCCTTTCTTATTTTTTTTCAAAAGTCATGCAGGCTGAACTTATTAAAGTATCAGTGGTATTAAAATAATAATCCAATGAATGAGACACTGTCGAATTTGAGGTTCATAGAAGCAAAAATTGTAATCTGAGAAACACATCTTTGGTTGAAACTAGTCAGACACCTTAAGGAAATTAAAAGTAGTCGTATACAGGCATCAATCGGAAAGGCAGTGCCTATCCTATAATAAAAAGATTTGTCTCTCAACAAGGGACTATTGTCATGCACCGAGCCAGTGCTGAGATTATTATAGGTGTGGAGAGGAGTCTGAATCATAAACATAACAATAGCAATAATCGGTTTATTATGATGTTAGCAACCGAGTAACTCAGCTTTGGCATAAGACAGAACTGGCATTCCTTCATACGCATATATGTCAAACCTTAACAAGAGTTACCTGTATTATGCCACTTAGTTTTCTCAACAACCACATTAGGTAGGTATTATAAGCTCAATTTTATGGAGGCAGAAATTGAAGCTCAGAGAAGTTAATTAACTTTTCCATGGTCACAAAGCTGGATTTGAAGCCAGGTTCACCTGACTTGAAAGCCCATGTCTTTGGCCACTAAACTGAATGATAGCTAACATTTATTGAACGTTTGTCACATACCTTGTGTTAGTCTAAGTACTTCATGTGAATTCTCTTATTTTAACCCTTTTAATAGTAATGTGAGTTTGGAACTATTGCTATCCCCATTTTATTGGTGAAAACAGGGAGGCATGGAGAAGTCAAGTAGCTGGCCCTGGGCTACACAGTTGGAAATTGGCAGAGCACAAAGCTCCCTCTGGGCTTTGGAGAGCACGGAATCAGTTCTCTTCATTCTATCCTTGAGGAAACTGAGGGCCAGAGAGGAGAGACGGACTTTCTCAAGGTTATATAGCTAGTTAGTGGTCGACTTGTGAGCCCAGAACCTAGGACAGTTTGTCCTCAGTCCAGAGTCTTTTCGAGACCTGCCATCTGGCCACATTTGGTCACTTACACCTGATCCAGTTGAAGATTTCCGTGGGGCTGAAAGGATCTAACACAGAGTCAATATACCCAACGAACAGCCATTTTAACATTGCTTAAGTTTTGTCGTGTTTCTCTAGCAGTTCACTTAACTTACCGTCTAATCTGCTAGCCAAGGGCAGAACCAGTTTCTCAGAGGTAGCTATTGATAATTGTTTTATAACCCCTCCCCAGTTTTTTGGGTACTAGTTAGCTTTCCTATTTCAAGTACTTGCCTCCACCCAAAAGACCCAAGTTAACCCAGTCAGCCTTTCATGACCTTCATGTCACAGACTCCATCACCATGGCAGTGATCATATTGACTAACCCACCCACCTGCCTGCCATCCATCACCTGACATCAGTACCTGTGCTTACCTGCCCTCCGTGATGATGTGGAGCAGACCACCTCCCAATCACCTTAATGACCTGCCCCCATCAAAGGGAAGGGTTAAAAGGCATTCAACTTCAAACAGCAGCCACCATTGCCTTGCTCGGCTATGGTCTGGTCATGTGTTCTTTGAACTATGGCCAGGCCGTGTTTTCCTAAGCTTTGGCCCCTACCCCTACCTTGGGGAGGTGAATCTCCTCCTCTTCTCTCTCTCTGATTTACTTCCTAAATAAACTATATTTTCCAGCCTAACTTCGGTGCAATTCTTTGCTTCTTATGCACGGCACCAGATCACGGGCCAGACACTCGCCACCCCCCCCCATTTGGGTCTGACCTAACATTTGGAGGAGGCCCTACTAGGATAATTTTAGCCTAACATTTTAGGAGGTCCCACCGAGATCTGTAGTTGCACCCCATATGATTTACTAGCCTGGAAGGACATAGCACCTGCCTTCTTTGTCACGGCCCAAGTGCACCCGCATTTTGCTCCCTTTTCCAGGAGATGAAGGGGCTTCGACAACCCGAGCCTTGAGGGGTGCCTAGGCAGTGGGAGTGGGAGCTCAGCCCCCCACTGTGGGAGGATGGAGTTGGTGCACCTGCTCCCACCTGCACTCCTCGCCCTCTAGCAGCTTGCGGTAGGTGGCGATCTCCACGTCCAGGGCCAGCTTCACGTTCATGAGCTCCTGGTACTCGCGCAGCAGCCGCGCCATGTCCTGCTTGGCCTTCTGCAGGGCATCCTCCAGGTCCACCAGCTTGGCTCGGGCGTCCTTGAGGGCCAGTTCTCCTCGCTGTTCTGCGTCAGCGATGGCTGTTTGCAGGCTGGAACACTGTACGGAAAGGAGGAAGTCGTGAGACTTGCAGTTAGCCCCGGTGTAGGAACGCTGCTTCCTGCGCAGTAGTTGTGAGATGGCAGAATGACCCAGAAGAACTGAGTGTCTGAGGCACATGTGGCCCTGCTGGAGCTTTACCTGCTTCTTGACACCATCGATCTCGGCTCTCAGCCGCTGGATCATGCGGTTCATCTCGGAGATCTCCTGCTTGGTGTTGCGGAGGTCATCCCCGTGTCTGCCTGCCGTGACCTGCAGCTCCTCGTACTGACAGAACCAGAGTGGACTCAGTCACCGACTCAAATGCCTGGCCTGGGTGCTCGCCGTGGGCACAACCTGGCCCTCGGTGTCACCAGCAGGCCTGTTTGTTCACCAGTTATCACTCCTCTGCCCTTGGAGCTTAATTAATGGGGGAGAGAGACATCAATAAAATCAGCATATAAATGCATAGCTTCAAACCGAGATAAGCACCCCTTGGAATCAGGGTAGGATCCTAGGAGAGTGTAATCAAGGCACCTGACCCAGTCTTGGAAGTGAAGGGTGATGGTCAGGGACATCTTTCCAGAGATGGAGACCTCTAACTGTGGTCTGAGGATGGAAAGGAGGGACCTAAGTGACCAGCTTGGGAAGAGAACATTCCAGACAGAGGAAATAGCCTTTGTGAAACTCTGAGGCAGGAGGGGACACAGCGAAGTCCAGGTGTGAGGTAATGGCTTGGTCATGGTCTTGGGGAGTTTCCGGTCACAGGGCACCTTCCAGACCAACGGTGCTCATGAATTTTGGTAGCTCTTGAAACACCAGTGCTGGGGAACAGGGCAGAGGTGCAGGGAAGGTGCTGGATGGTGCAGAGGGTGGAGATGGCACAACACTGACGACTTTGTAAAGGAATCTCAGGTGACTCTCAGTCTAAGAGACCACTCATTCAAGAGAAATAATTGCACCTTGTCTCCTCTGGCAGGCTGGAGTGAAATCCATACCAGAATATCCCCGACAAGAAAGCCCCTGCCTGGGCCAAGACCTGTCAGGCTTTGGGAGTGCTGAATTGCACAACTTCTTCTCTCTAGACCCACACGATTACACAAAACATGCCAACAATACAAGGAACGTTTGCTATACATTTCAGCCACCACACCTTAGGGTTAAGCGTATCCCATCTCCTCTCACCATCAAGGAGCTGCTCTGCATTGGAAGCTTGGCCCCTGATACCCACCTTCCTTTCCACCGTGCTGCCTACCAGAGGGGACTGAGGCAGTACGTGGGGCAGGGCAGGGGTAGGAGCTGGCTTGTGGGTCCTGGGAGGGGTCTGGGTTTGGAAGGCAGCTGACCTCTTGGATCCACCATACCCCTCCAAAGCCAAACTCCCTTCTGGCCATCTGGGCCTCTGGGTGGTAGCTGTTCATGGTTATCCCAACCTTTCTCTTCCTGACATGAACTTATACCTCAAAAAAGTGCTTGTTCCTGCTGCCAGCCGCTAGTCCTGCCCCCAACATCTCCCCATTCCTTGGCAATCTGTCTCTCCCTGCTTCTCAAGCAGACTAAAAGCCCACCACTTCCTGGAAGCTCTCTGAGAATGCTGTCTTTTCCCTTCCACGATTGTCTATTCATGTCATGGCTTCCCAGACCTTGGGTTCTCTGTTTGCAGTATATTTGTTTACAACCCTGTAGCCCTGCCTGGCATAGATTAGGAGCTCAGAGCATATGTCTGGAATAAGTAAGCCTCTTAGAAACTGCTTTTGGCCAAGTGTCATGGTGTGCCTGTAATCCCAGCTGAGGGAGGCTGAGGCAGGAGGATCGATTGAGCACTGTTTGAGGCTGCAATGTGCTGTGATTGTGCCATTGCACTCCACTGCCTGAGTGATAGAGCAAGACCCTGTCTTAATAATAATAATGATGACGAGACTGCTTTATGACTGTCCCCTGCCCCCACCCAGACCACAAACAACTGGGACCTGTGGGTACCCTGACCACACACTAGTGTGTATGGTTAGGTTTCCATGTGCATTTCAAGCTAAGTGGTCCTAGCCTCAAAGGCACTCCTGCCAAGGCTTGTGCCAAGGCTGGTGCCTTCAGTGATGACACGGCACCTCGGAGAACACTGTCCCTGAAACCTGTCGTGGAGGCAACCATGCTCACCTTGGTCTGGTACCAGGACTCAGCCTCAGCCCGGCTGCGGTTGGCGATGTCCTCGTACTGGGCCTTGACCTCAGCGATGATGCTGTCCAGGTCCAGGTTGCGGTTGTTGTCCATAGACAGGACCACAGATGTGTCGCTGACCTGGGTCTGCATCTGGGACAGCTCCTGCAGGGCAGTAAACTCAGCTTCACCCAGGCACAAGGTGAAGGGTAGCTTGTGCCCGACTACCCATCTAGGCCAGGAAGCCTTCCCTTGGCATCCCTGTCAGGTTCTTCCGGCACTTCCTTGGTTATTCCCCTCCCTTCCCAGAAGTCTCTGTTTCTCCTGGCTCCCACATGTGCGCTTGCGTGGGTATGAGGGTGGGCAGGTGCCCTCTGAGTTCACATCACATAGATTTGAATATGACAAGTTTGCCCAATGTGCTAGGATAACAAAGCGTTCCTCAGGATCGTGTGATGTGTAGGACCTGCTGTCCCTTGCACAGTGGCTTTGTCCCTTTCTTCCTCTCGCTCCCATTCTACAGACCTAGGTCTCTGCATTCAGAGAAGCAGTGTTCAGAATGAGGCATCTTTAAAGGGTGAGAAGCACCCTGAGCAATGAGCTGAGGGGCAGCTTGCTAGTAGGTCTCGATTCCTTGGCACTGTTACCCGGTGACCCAGAACTTGGGAATCTTCAGCGCCTCCTTGCTAGGGGCTGTCTTGCCATGCGGTAAGGGGAGAAGTCTCAGAGCTGAGGTATAAATAGTTTAGAGTGACAAGCTTTCAGGCAGTGCCCACCCCCCACTCCCTAAGCCCTGGCTTGGAGACTCTTCTTTCAAGATTCCGGAAAGAATCTGGAGGGACAAAAATACTCGCAGACTTACTGCCTCGAAGACCAAATGAAGGAAGTTGGTCTCATCGGCCAGAGACTTGACCTTGGTCTCCAGCTCCACCTTGTTCATGTAGGCGCCATCCACATCCTAGAATGACAGCCCAGGATGCCCCTCTGACACCATAGCCCCAAACGGTAGATCTAAAAGAAGCCAAGCAGCTTCTTCCCCCCCACCCCCTCCAGCTCCTATGGGTTCTTCAAGTTTGGATTTCAGAAAACTCTGTGTTTGGGGGATTTGGGTTTGGAGTTGGGTCATTACTGAGAACTGGGGGTTCAAGTCGCCTGGGTCAGTGGGGCCATAAACACGAAGGGAGCATGCCGGCAGGTTAGATCTCCAGGTATTCTCAAGGTTGGTGTGACATTTCTTGGGTGGCCCCAGCGTCAGATCACCCCACACTCCACGGTTCAGTGCTAAGTCTTCTCCTTTAAGAGACAATCCCACTCACCTTCTTCAGGGCCACAAACTCATTCTCTGCAGCTGTGCGCTTGTTAATCTCGTCTTCATACCTGGAAGGGCGGAGGAGAGGGGTGTTGAGCAAGCTTCCGCTGAACTCTTCCCAGGCTGGTGTGGCAAGAGTTAAAAGACCTCAAATCCTTTCTGGCGCCTCCGCCGACCTCTGTGTGACTTTGAGTGATTCATTTAACCTCTGTTTCTCCCTCTATAAAAAGGGGGTAATTTCTTCTTCTTTTTATTTTTTTTAACTTTTATGAGACTTGAAGGTGAGCACGGGACTTGAGGGAATGGAAATTGACACGCAACTCTGTCTTTCCATGAATGCACAATGCTAATCTTTAAAAAGCTGTGCTGCCCTACGTGCCCGCCGAAACGATGGAATAAACAGGGTCTGCTCAGAACACTATTTCAGGGAAGATTTTGATATGTTTTCACCAAACCTCAAAGTGGTCATTGAGAAGTGTGCTTTTTGGAACTAGGTGTAGCTCAGACTCAGAAGCCAAGGCCAAGCCAGTTCATGGGTGTGCTCACAGGGCCATCCCTTTCCACTGGGTACCTCACTGACTGCAGCCCGGGTGATGTGCAGCCAAATTGCTACCTCTCTTCATGCCAGAGCTAATGTCATCTTGGAAATGCCAACCGTCTCAGCAATTGAGCCCATGTCCTATGGAATTTAAGAAGTGAAATGTTACACTTTCCAGAGTGAGTGGTGGTGTTTTGCCAGGTGGTGCTGGTTTCCCTTTGCAGTCAGGTAGCCAGATAAGAATAGGCTCCTTTCTATGGGCGAGGCACGAGCTGACGGTCCCTCGGGCACCCCATGCCATGCAGTCTTCCCCTGGCAGGATGATGACTGCAAGCTCCCAAGCTGCTTTGCACCTCTCTGGTCCTCACACAAAGGAGGCCCGGGACAGCTGCATGTGGCCATAAGCCTGTCTCCACTTACCTGACTTTAAAATCTTCTACAACATCCTGCATGTTCCTCAGCTCAGCCTCGAGCCTGCCCCGCTCTGTGGTGATACTGTCCAACTGCCGCCGGAGGTCACTGATGTAGGTGTCAAAAAAGGGCTCCAGGTTCTGCCTCACGGTCCTGGAGCCCTGCTCCTGCAGGAGGGTCCACTTGGTCTCCAGAACCTTATTCTGCTGCTCCAGGAACCGCACCTGGTGGGGGAAGAGAGCATAGAAACTTGAGATGCTGGAGAGGCAGAACCCTAACCCTAACCCTCATTAATTAAGGGAGAGAAGAAAAAGAAATTTTTTCCCCTGACACCCATCTGGTAATGGTGTCATTGACAACTCCAACTCAAAAGGAGGAAGCCCATGAAGCTGACCCAGAACTCTCTATGGTTTCCATAGAATTTGTGTAGAGGAAGCCCTTGTGCTTGGGTTGAGTTTCTTAACGTCATCTATCTGCTCTGGGTTGGGGTAGTTTGCTGAGTGGCAACTCTCTTCCTGAGAGAATCCACTTAACTTCCCTCTTGTTGACTGAAGCAGCCATGTAGCTCCAAGGGAGAGGAAATGTCCTCCGGGCCCTGTGGAACAAGCTGGCCCACCTTAAGTTGCCTTAGCCCAAGGACATTGCTGACCCATGCCCTTTCCCACAGGGAGGCCACTGCATGGCTCTTTCTGTGCTAGGTTGGAGCCTTCCCAGGAGTCTATTCAATACCAAATCCAGGGCAACAGATGAGGCTCCTGGCTCACCTTGTCGATGAAGGAGGCGAACTTGTTGTTGAGGGTCTTGATCTGCTCACGCTCCTCCTTCCGCACCCGCTGGATGGTGGGGTCGATTTGCAGGTTGAGAGGCGTCAGGAGACTCTGGTTGATGGTGACCTCTGGGATGCCTCCAGAGAGGCAGACAGGGAAGCCAGGGCCTCCAAAGCCCCCTCCGACTCCACTCCCATAGCCAAATCCACTGTTGACCCCAAACCCGCCGCTAGCCCGGCTGCCAAAGCCACTCCGGAACCCACTGCTGCACGCACCAATGGAGACCCGCTTGGTGCCCCCCAGGTTGTAGAGGCTGCGGCTTCCAAAGCCAGCCCCAGTGCTGCCGATCCTTCCCAGACCCCCGCTGCCCCCGGTGGAGTGGGCCACAGACACAGAGCTGAAGCGTGAGCGGCCAGCTGCTGGGGTGGTGGCCGATGCGGTGCTGAAGCCCCTACGGCTGCTGGTCTGGAAGGTGACGGAGGACTGCCGAGACATGGCGAGTGAGGATGACGGCCGGAGGAGCTCCTGAGGTAGACTCGAGCGTGTGGGGGGCAGAGGACACAGGTGGCGGGGAGCCCCCAGGGCCCTGGGCTTTTATGAGCCTCCAGGAGGGGCGGGGCGATGAAGAGGGCTTGCTGATGGCATCCCCTGGGCATTCGCCAACCCTGAGCTCACACGCGGCATCCCTCGGGAAATGGTGTAACCGCCACAGGCTGCTTCCCCAGCACCCCCTGCCCCCCGTGGAAACTGCTTTCCAGTTGCAACTTGATCAGCAGACGAGTGAGAAGCACATTAATTGCTTTCAGTCATGTCCTAATCATGCGTCTTATAGGGACTCAAAACACACTGCCTCATGTCTAAACCGCTTCCTAGGCCTGGGACCAACTCCCTCCTGTCCAAACACCTTGTATGGACACAAGCATCTGGGACTCACAAATTCCTGTTCCCTGGTGCGTTTCTCAGCCCGGTCCCCACCTACCATCAAGTTATCCTTCCAGATCTTGAAAATCCTGCTCCGCCATCCCCCTTCTTGGGATCCCACCCTGTTTTGTTGGCCCCTTGATTTTGCTCTTCAGCTCTCATTTCTGAGGTGTAGGTCACGCACGGCCCTCTGGAGTGTGCACGGGCCCATGCCCTGCCCACTCCAATGTAATGTGACCCTCAAGGCCATCTCCTGGGGAAGAATATTGTGAGAGTTAGGAAGACTTGGATTTGAGTCCCAGACCTGCCAATTTCTTGTACTTGTGGGACCTTGGGCAGTCATGAAACTCTTCTGAGTCTCAACTCTTGTGTCTGTAAAATGGGGCTTGGGATGAGTATTCGTGTGTGAAAAGGGCTTTTGCAATGCCAGGTCCACGTAAGTGCTGAGTAAATGTCTGCTGAGGCTTCTCTCCTTCCAATACAATTGAGTGACTGTTCACGAAGGGCCTGCCGTGCATCTACTCCGTGACAAGTCTTTTGGGAACTCAAAAGAAACACGATACAAGTGATTTAGTGACCGACTCATGGTCCCACTGGGAAGAGAGAACTGTTCAGGATGGTGGACAGCGAGGCACCTCCAAGCTATGTTTGAGGTTCTTCATCCCAGAAATCTCTCAGTCGGTCCCTCCTTCTCCTGAGGACGGGGAGACCCAGCTCCTTCATCCAAAGAGTTCAACGGTTACACCTTGAAGAGGATTTTCCTCCTTCCTTTTCTTTTCCTGTTAATTTTGTTGGCCATGTACTACGTTTCTCACCAGCTTACAAACTGATCGGGGTCTTGAAGCCACCCCCCTCGTTCCACAGCTCCTCACCCCATCTTTTCCACGGGAAGAGTCAAACCCCCCAAAAGCTATATCTTTCATCGTGCTGACCTCTTGCTTCTTGCTGAGGCTTTGAAGGATGGGAGATTAAGAGAGGAAATCATCTCTCCTTAGTCCCCATTTTGTGGATGAGGAAACTGAGTCCTGGAAGGGTGAATTGAGCAGACAGATATCCAAGAAGCAGAACCAGACTCCATGGTTTTCTACGCAGTGTCCTTTTAGGGGCACACGGGTACCTGATGGCTCGGCAGACATGCTCACCCTGCTGGAATGGCCGCTCAACCCTCAAGCGGTGGTTCTTTGTTCTCTGAGCTATTTCCTCCTTGGGGCTGAGCCGGGGATGGGCCTCTCCCCATACAGAGATTGTTCGGAGTCTCAGTTTCCACGGGGAACCCATGAATCATAGCTTTTGTTGATACAGGCCGGGAGGGCAGAGCGCAGGCGTTCTCTTACCTGGTTGCCAGTGAGCCCAAGTCCCTGCTGGGCAGTGCATGGTTCTCGAGTGGAAATAATAATTATCTTTGTTTTCTGTTCTACTCATCACATGATCTTCTGTCCCCCAGAAAAAGGGACACTTGTTTCCTGAGTTGCGCTGAGTAAAGCCAGGCAGAGCTCCCCACAGACAAATGTCTGCATGGTCAAGGCGAGGGGATGGCTTAGCCCGTGTGCCCATGAGAACAAGGTTGGGTTCCTCCCACCAGGCTTCCCAGGAGGGGCCAGGTGTCTTCTCTCCCTCCTGGTCCTTCCTTTGTTCCCTTATTCTCTGCTGGGGTCCTCCATTCTCAGGCATTTCATCTCATTCTCTTTCTTTCTTATTTTACTTTGTTTTTATTTTTGAATCAGGGTCTTCCTCTGTCGCAGGCTGGAGTGAATGGCACCATCACAGTTCACCATAGCCTCGAAGTCCTGGGCTCGAGTGATCCTTCCACCTCAGCTTCCCAAGTAGCTGGGGTTGCAGGTGCATGCTACCATGCCCAGCTAATTTTTTATTTTTATTTTTGTAGAGACAAGGTCTTGCTATGTTGCCCAGGCTGGTCTTGAACTCCTGGGCTCAAGTAATCCTTCGGGGGATTGTTGTTTCTGAAGCTAGATTGTCTTACTCACAGACTTTGGTGAGTTTGACTGAAATAGGTACATTTTTCCCCTCTCTTCCTCCTTCACTACTCTTCTGTGACCTTTGACCTGTGTGGCAACCCTTACCCTGGTGGTGGATGTCTACATGAGTGCCTAGGACACCCAGTCTCCCTGACAGCCTGTGTCACCAGCCCCTTTAAAACCCCAAAACTTACAGACTGTTAACACCTCTTCTGCTTTCTGCCAAGAAAATTTCTTTTAACCTCCTTTGTAATTCTGCTTAAAACTCAGCCCTGGAAAGGCTTTTCGGATACGCTGGTCTAGTGCTAACTCCTTTATACTGTTTTCTTAAAACACCTGTATTTGACTAGCACTTCCGTCTGTTGGTCTTCTGGTGGTCTGGGTATTCATCTACCCCTGAGGGTTGGGGTATTCTTCCTCCCATGCCCTGACTTGCCTCCTTTATAAACACTTGAAATAAAATTGTGGCAGTTCTTGAGATACGGGTTGTCTAATGTAAAGAAGCCCTACATATTCCTTTCTGTGTCCCAAACATTCCCGAGTCTCTCCAACTCTGTCTTATTGGGTCTAATGGTGGATTCAAGGGACAGGGTGTGTACTCTGGAGCCTGTGGCTGGAAGGGCCAAACTCTGCAATTTCCTTGCTACCCCTACCCTTTGTTCATGATGACTGCCATCATTCTCAGAGGGATTTGAAGGCCCTTGGCAGAGGGTGGATTCCAAGGATGCCGGGCCAGTGGTGATCAGGGCTGTGGAGGTGGGTAGAGGAGGAGAGGAAGGGGTGGAGACACCCCTCTAAAGGGTGAGGTGTGGGGACACACCAGGGACATTTGTCTTCCCACTGGGCCAGGGCCAGGGAGAGCAGCCTGGACAGAACACCATGGACAGAGAGGCTTACCTCCCAAGAACAGGCTGGCCTGAGTCACAGATCCAAGACCCTGGATGCTGTGTCTGAAGACCCAGGCCATTCACCCTCAATTGCTTAGTGTACTAGCTCCCTCCTGGGCTTCCCCTACTCTCTGGGGAGTCATGGCTTTACTGAACAACTCTTTATTAGCACCTACTATGTGCCAGGGAGTCACTGTTCCAGGCACAGGAGATATAGCTGTGGACAAGCAGTCAGAGCTCCCGTCTATCCTGGAGCTGACGTTGAAGGAAGAAGAAAGGCTTAGGTGGTTTGGAGGTGTGAGTGCAGTCACAGCCCGGGGCTCCCAGTTGACACCTTCCTAGGGCCAAGAGTGGAGAAGACAATTGTGTTATGGTACCTGGGTCATCTCCATCAGGAACACACTTCTATCTTTGCTATTTGTGCTGGGACAGCTGCACTTCCTCAGCATTGGGCATGTCTAATAGGCACCACCCGGCCTGCCTCTAGGGGTCAGACCCCCCACCTGCAGGCCCCTGTTCTCCTGCATGCAGTGGCAATGATTGCTTTTCAAGATCTGGGTCTTGGGGCATCCACCTGCACGTAGCCATGCTCACCTGATCCCTGCACGGCCAGCATAGCAGGCATTTCACATGAGCCCGTGTCTGATGGGCAGGTGCGGAGCCACGTGCAGGTGGGGCAGCAGCCCTCCTGACTCCTTCAGTCCATTTTGGCAGCAAAGTGCTATGCTCTTTTCACTCCAACTTGTGCTTAAGAGAAGCGTGATGGTGCCCCCTTTCCTTCACAATCCAGTCCTTCAGACACGTCCGGCAGAAGTGCATGTATACAGATAGACTCACAGACTCACAGAAGGCTCTTAAGAAGGATGCTTTTCTTAAGAGCGTTCACACAAGAGCAATCTGCACACGCATGTGGTGCCACCTGGGTTTATCAGGATGGAGAAGTGAGCTGGAGGAGAAGTAGCCTTTTCAAGCCTGGAGGAACCCTAGAGAGGAGGAAACCAGGCTAAGAAGGGGGATGAGAACTGTAGAAGGCTACACAGCCATTTAGTAGCCAAGCCAAAACTCCTAATTCCCTTATGTTCAAGTCTAGCAAGAAACACACCCTGTTACCGGGAAGCACAGGTGGGCCCTTCCTGGAGGGAGGAGGTGGGCAAGAGGCCAGCGATGGAGGGGTTCCAGGTATGTCTGTGCCATTCACCTCTGGCCACTTTAGTGGCCTTGTTTGTTCCCAAGGTCAGATATGTCATCCACCAGGTCTCTCTCTGTTGAGGAGGTGCGGCCAAGCAGGGGGACTGCTGGGAGAGGACAGTGAGGGAGGTGTGGTGCCCCCAAGTTCCCCCTTGGAGGTGGGGACCCAGAGGCCCTCTCTGAGCTGGGAACACAATACCTAGAAGCCTGGCTGGGTGAACACTGGCATGAAGCCACAGCCTGGGGGCACAGACTGGGTGGGCTGGGTGATACTGGCACATCAAGGGACGCTGCTGACACCCCCTCACTGGCTCGTTACTGGGCCTGGAGGGTGCTGTGGAGGGCTGGGCTGTGTGTCACCCACTGGGAAGTCAGAGCCGGAAGCAGCAGCCTCACCCCTGTGCTGGGCTTGGCACTGCCTCAGAATCTCATGGATTGGGCAGCCTGGAAACTTGCTTCCACTTTCTAGCTGCCTTCTCTTGCCCTGGTTACATCTGAGAGACATTTTGCATGCGAACCTTTACACAAGCTGCATTTGTTGTTTCATCCATTCATTTATTCTTTCGAGAAATATTTGTTGGGGACCTCTGGCAAGTGAGGCAGTGGGATACAGCAGTGAAGGAGGTTCAGTCCCCACATGATGACAAGGAGATGGACCATGAGGAGATATGTCACCACCGGGGCAGGTGCAAGATGTGCAAAGGGAACTCCAGACACCTGGGAGGGTGCCGCTCCCTCAGTGA